GTGAGAGTATATCAAGTTGATAATGAATCACGTGGGAATCTAGACAAATGAAGTAGCTTGTTAGTGGACTGAATCGACATGGTAAAGATAGGATCAATCGTTTGTATGTGTTCGAGGTAATGGGTTCTTACAAGTGTATGGCAGTGAAGCTCCTGTGTACTGGAAGTCTGCTTAGCTTGGTTCAGATAGAGGGATTCCGTTCTTGGCAATTTAATTTGTGCAAATAGAATTAGGATAGGATTCTTGTTGAAGTTTCATCATGGTTTGGGGTTGTATATTTTCTACGGACATGCGGAGCATGGAGTGTATAATAAAATCTTCTTCTAAATGGGATCAATGGAAGTCTTGGACTAGTTGAGTGCGTCGATGTTTGCGGCGCAGAAGGGAGATGAAAGTTCTCGTGTTATCCTTGGAGGATATTGTGTATGCGGTATGTTGTAAAGGACTGATATGGGTACGTGCGAGTTTTCGACTCAGTTCGGAAAGGTATGGTGGATTTGGCTATGGCTTAGGTAAGGAGTAGCTTCAGGCAATCAAGGAATTTGTACGGGTAATTGGAAGTGATTTGGCAATGGCATATGTTTCGGAAAGAGGGTAATTCCACAAATGGTACATCAATAGTGTTACGGCATTTTCTTATGGTATTGACTGCGGAGATCTGAGTTGTTTTGATGGCACATGGGAGTTTTAGAATATCTTTCATGGAGTAATTGGGTACTTGGGGTGCAATCTGTATTTCGCAATGTGGAAATTTGGATCAGGCACAGTGATTCATGTGCTATGAGTAGTTGGAGATTGGGAGTTCTCCGGGGCAGTCTATGCGGTGATTGTGGATCGTGTATGTTGTATTGATACGGTTAGCGGCTATTGGGAGATTGGAATCTGAGTGGATCCTTCCTTGCTTTGTATATTAAATGCTGGATATGTTATATGGATGTAGAGCGGTTGCCTCAGTGTCGGATGGTTCTAAACGATTGTGCTATGAGTCATGTTGGGAATTGCCACAAGTTGCGTGGCAGGGTGTATCAGACTATGTTCTAGCTGGATGGTTATGTTCCAGAGACTAACGGTCGACTAGGAAGAATTGCGTTCCAGAAATTAGGCCTTCGAGGCGGATGTAAGTGTAGAGGTTTCTACCATTGATTTCGGTTCCAGTATTGAGGGACTTTTCAGATGCGTCCTTGTGGCTGGGCATGTCACCGGGCGAGACTGTGGATTTCAGTAATCATTTGGTGCCGGGAACCATATCGTACGGCTCCGGTATGAGTTATAGTAGTGGAAGTGGAATTTTGTAGCTTACAACGCTTGTATGAATATCTTTATGCACTCAGTTGCTTACGACCGATGTTGGTATTTTGTTATTATGAGCAAATCTGGCTCGATGTGCACCTCCCTATGTGAGGTGCGTTGTGGGGATCGGGTAGCACGCCGCCATGAGAATGTTATCTAGATTGGGTTGCGCACCGCATCAGTGTGATGTTGAGCATAGCTTTCCATGTGTTGATTTGTATTCCTTGCTTCCTGGCTTCCGAGGGAAGTCCGCAATGAGAATTGCTTGGCGAATAGCGTATCGGTTGTGTCCTTTCAGGACAGAGTAGTGTATACTACTTGTTTCACTGTGAGCGTGATGGGTGATTGCGTTTCGAGAATCGATCTATGCATGGATGTCTACTTTGAGTATGGTAACACGAGGTGATTCGTGCGTAACAGAGTTGAGTTAGGATCGCGCGTTGTGGCAAGGCCACGTGGAATTATGACCTTGCGAGGAGGATTTAGGTACTCTATCCCTATGATGTGAGATGGGGTCTCAGCTTGGTTTTGTAAAGGTATTGATGAGCTTGAGGTAAAACTCTTCCGGTTGAGTCAATTGTCCTGATTTGGGTACGTACAGACTATTTCTTATTGGCGCATGTATTATGTAAATTGCGGCTTAGACTTGTATTGAGGTATCATCTCGCTATGAGTGTTGTGTCAGATTCGAGGTGATCATTGGGGTCAATAATGAATACGAACAGATTTGATTGCGTCAGGTTAGAAGGATAATATCGAGGTTCTGGCCCGAAAACCTGTTGTGGTAATAGTCAACATGTAAGTGACTTCTTGAATGGTTGATCAAAAGGACTCTACATTCATTGCGTGTTTTGGCTATCATTGGCAGTATACAAATGTGTTGGGGTAAGACTTTATCTAAATGTGAGGTTTTCTATTGGTAATTGAGTATTGTGGGCAACTGCTATGAATTAAGACTATCATTCCGAGTGCTGAAATGTGTGGTATATTGTATGAATTCACCTGAGGTTGCAGGTGTGGTTGTTACAGCTGGTTCGGGTTAATTCTGAGTATAGATGTGAGGTACGAATCTTGTGTATGATTTCGGGTAGTGCAGTGTGGTTCTACGGTTTATGGGCCAGATGGATTGTGAAATTTCAGTTGTGTTGTGTTATCGGTACCTATGTGAGTTGGAGTGACGTGGGATCACCCCGGGCATTTGCTTGGTAATTTCACTTGGCTATTGGGTTGCTTCTAGTACAGCTCTGGGTACGCTCAAGGACGAGCGTTTTTTTAAGTTGGGGGAGGATGTGACGACTCGACCCATCGTCTATTGTATCTCCGTCCTATTATCCCCGTTATATATTTCCCCATGTGTTGACATACGTGTTTGGTGAGGTTGAAGTGGTTCGGGTTGAAATTGGATAGAAATGAGACAAATAGTCTCTTTAAGGAAAGCTTAAGTTGCAAAAAAGTCAACCCAACATTGACTTATGAGTTTGAGGGCTCAGAATGGATTTTCGATGGTTCGACTAGTTTCGGGGGATGATTGATGACTTAGGAGTGAAAACGGAAGTGAATTCGGATGTCCGGTGTGAAAGTTAGCTTAGATTGGCGAAGTTGGAATTTCGGAGAAATTCGGTTGATAGGTGAGATTTTGATCCTAGAGTCGGAATGGAATTCTGAGAGTTGTTGTAGCTTCATTATGTTATTTTAGACTTGCATGCAAAATTTGAAGTCAATCGGACGTGATTCGATAGGTTTCGGCATCGAGAATAGAAGTTGGAAACTTCCAAGTTCATCAAGCTTGGATTGGAGGTTGATTCAAGATTTTAGCGTTGATTGATGTGATTTGAGGCCTCGACTAGGTCCGTGATGTGTTTTCAGACTTGTTGGTGCTTTTGGTTGAGGTCCCGGGGTCCTCGGGTGTGTTTCGGGTGAGTACGGACACCTGGGAACTTAGAAAAATGGAAGGGGCAGCAGTGGTGGTGCGGACCGCACATCTTTTCGTGCGGCCGCGCAGGTGAGGAACCCGCAGCGTCACTGGTCCTGCTTCGAAAGCTCATAACTCTTTATCTATAAGGAATTTTGAGGTGATTCAAAAACGAAAGTTGTATTCCTTCGTGTCTAGTTTCCATAAAGCTAAGGAAATAGTAATTTGGACATCTGTACCGAAAGTTATGGCCAAAATACTAAAGGGTATCGCAACAGCCAAAAGCTTTGCGGCCGCGACCATTTGTGTACGGACCGCACAGGTTGGATGTGGCCGCGTGCCATTTTTGTGCGGTCAGCACAGCTGGGATCCGAGGGGTACATGTATAAATACGATATTTTCGGTTTTATTTGATATTTTACCCATGGGAGCTCGGATTTTGGCAATTTTTCGAAAGTTTTTCAAGAAATTCATCGAGGTAAGTAATTCTAACTCAAATTTGGTTGAAATACATGAATATACCATTGAATTCATCATTTTTTTTAAGCAAATATACCACCAGGCAGGATGCCTAGTGGCTAATATATGTATATATAAATCCCAAAATAGGGTCCAAAAACATACAATGAGTCTAATGCACCATATAATGTGCCTGCTAGCTACTTCTAAGAATGGAAATCTAATTAAACTAGCTATTACATAGTGGAATGCAACATAAGTCCATCTCCTGCTCGTGTATGTGAATCCACATGGCAATGGCAAATACCAAGCAGCACCTAAAACTCTCTCACCCGGCACCAAAGTATACCAACCACTGACCAAATTGAATACCAAACCATACCACAAACAAAATGAGCTTATCAATGCTAAAATCAACCAAAGAACCTCCCACATGACCCATACCTCATGCATTGCATTATCATCTCCAGAATGAGTGTGTAAACACACTAATACCACTGGATAATGATAGTGCAATACACGCTGTATGGGTGAATATCGGTTGTGAAACACCCATTTCGTCCAATCCCGAGCCTGTTTACACAATCTCGTGGCTGTTGAATCAGTCCCGTGCCTCTTGCATGTCACGTGCCTCGAGCATGTTGAGTCGATCCCGTGCCTGTTGATGTAATCCCGTGCCTGTTGAGTAAATCCCATACTCGAGACTAACAGGGACGGTACAAATAGGTTTGGTCTCGTGGGTAATTTGCAGCCTTTTCTTTTCTTACTCTTTACATCATGAATCCCGTACCTTGATAGATAGTCCCCGGGTTGAGCATTTGATCCAAAGTGAATGTGTAAACCCACTAATACCGCTGAATAAAAAATCCTGTGCCCGTGCCTGTCGCTATGGTCCCGTGCCTGTTGTGTCCATCCCGTGCCTAATACAGGCTGCTTTATGATCGTGACTAACAGGCACGGTAGAAATATGTTCGGTCCCGTGGGTAATTTGCAGCCGTTCCTTCCTTCCTTATTATGTGAGTAATTCCCTTTCTTAATCTTTACATCAGGTATCCCGTACCTTGATAGATAGGGCCCAGGCTGAGTATGTGACCATACTAATACCACTGGGTAACCATTCACCAAGATCCTAGAGNTCCCGTGGGTAATTTGCAGTCGTTCCTTCCTTCCTTATTATGTGAGTAATTCCCTTTCTTAATCTTTACATCAGGTATCCCGTACCTTGATAGATAGTCCCCAGGCTGAGCATGTGACCATACTAATACCACTGGGTAACCATTCACCAAGATCCTAGAGTACCTATGAAAAGATTGAAGCATCCTAACAAATGTAGAGTTCATTAGTCTGGTGCTCTTCTTTTGGCAATCCTAACTCTAAGGTTAGGTATTTGAGCTTTGTCCATATTAATTAGAGCCTTTCCTTCCGATAGTAACTCATGGAATGACTGAAATGTGACAGTACCTGCAAAAAAGAACACGTGGTTAGCTAAAAAATCCGCCACTTTGTTGCCCTCCCTATACACATGCTGGAATAGTACATTATAGGACTCCTTTATCTCCTTGATCTTCCTTACTTCCGTTCCAATACACCATGGTGTCTCCCATTCATCATCAATTATCTTCTTCATCACCAATGAATCCGTCTCCATGATCAATGGGTGAAGCTGTTGTTCCACGCAGTATATCAATCCCTCTATAATTCCTTTAGCTTCAGCTACAATGTTTGTTGTCTCACCTATCTCCCTTGCTTTTGCATACACCAAATCCCCTCTATCATCTCTAACACAGAATCCATACGAGCTTGGGCCCGGGTTCCCTCTTGATGCCCCATCTGTATTGCACTTGTACCATTTTTCATATGGCAATGTCCATGTAACTCGTCGAGTGACTACCACTGGCTTATAATTCTCAAAAAATCGTATCATTTCTGGCCAAAGCATTGGAATCCTTTGGAGCCACGGATACCTCACCTTCGCCAAATAATACAACGCCTTATTCACCTCATGTATGACTCTACTACAGGACACTGATCCACCATGTTTTCTAGTGTTCCTTCTCTTCCAGATTTCCCATAGAATTACTGCAGGAGCTGCCTGAAATATAGGTCTTAGCTTTGGGCAGCATTTTGCATTCCACCATATCCTTATAACCTGGTGCACCTGTACCATAGTAGTCATCAATCCTGCAGCCTGTAGGAATGTTTCCCATACCTTAGTTGTTGTTTCACTTGTTAAGAACAAATGCTGGAATGACTCCTCCTATGGTGGTGTACAACACCAACACTTTGAGACTACCATGTATCCCCCCCTTCTCCATATATCATATGTGGGCACCTTTCCTCTCCACACTCTCCATAAGAAGAACGATATTTTGAAAGGTAACCCTTTGGTCCATAGCTTTGCAAATTCAGGATTGACAGGTTCCCTGTGCCTCATTATTCTCCATGCACTACTTACAGAAAATTTACCTGATGATGAGGGCATCCACTTAGGAGTATCCCAGTAGTCATCTCCATTATAAAAAGGTACCTCTTGTCTAATATGGTCAGCAATGTCTTCAGGAAAACTTTGACTCAGCACCTCATCATTCCATTGATCTCCAGTTCTCAAATCCGACACTTCCTGCAGTTCTTCATCAATAGGAAAATCTGGGGGCAACACATGATACAATGCTCCTAAACCAGTCCAATTTTCATGCCATACATTGGTGGAACCCCTATTCATCTCCCACAGAATTTCATGCTCCACTTCTTCCCTAGCTTCTAGCATTTTCCTCCACACATGAGAGCCTTCTCTAAACTGAACTACCGTAGGTAATTCTTTCTTGCAATACGTGTTCCACATAAAATTGGCCCACAGGGGTTTTGATGTTCTGAACCTCCACCATAGTTTTGCAAATAATGCCTTGGACACATCAAACAAGGATCTAAAACCTATTCCTCCCTCCTCCTTAGGAAGACATAGGTTCATCCATTTTGTCCAATGTCTACTTCTCCCCTCTTCCTTATTTCTCCAGAAAAATCTTGCAAATATCTTATGGAGATGTACCAACACATTATCAGGAGGATCCAACACCGATAAGATATGTGTAGGTATACTTTGTAACACATTGGAAATCAACGTGGCTTTGCCTCCATAGGATAGTAATTTGCCTTTCCATGAGTGCAACTTAGCCTTAACCTTCTGAATCAAGTCATTATAATAATTCTTCCTTCCTCTTGTGTAAAAGATAGGGCAACCAAGGTATGTGAATGTGAAGCTTCCTTTTGAAAAACCCGTAATGGCAGATACGGACTCTACCAAAGCTCTAGCCACCTTAGAGTGCATATAAAAGGAGCTCTTGGTCTTGTTGATCATCTGCCCTGATGTGTTTTCATACAGTGTCAATACATCAATTATCCTCCGAAGAGAATAGGGATCCGCTGATGCGAATATAATAGTATCATCTGCATAGGCTAAATGGTTCAACGGATCTGACCATTTAGGCATGCCAAATCCTCTAAACTTCCTATCTTCCCACAACCTATTCAACGTTCTTGATAACACTTCTGCTGATAAGATAAATAGTGCTGGTGAAAGAGGATCTCCTTGCTTCACCCCCCTTGTAGAATGAAAAAACCGGATGCCTGGCCATTCACTATGATAGAGTACCAATTATTTGAGATGAGGTTCCAAATCATGTTAATGAACCACTCGGCAAACCCCATTCTTCTCAAAACATGCAACAAATATTTCCATGACACTGTATCATACGCCTTTGCCATGTCTAACTTGATTACTACATTAGCAGGCTTCCCTCTTAGTCTTATGTCAGTGACAATCTCCTGTGTCAACAATATATTCTCAAAAATACTTCTACCTTTAACAAAGCCCGACTAGTTAGGTGATATCAATGAAGGAAGCATCCCTTCCAGCCTGTCATGTACCACTCTAGAGAAGACCTTATTTATGAAGTTGCTCAAGCTTATAGGCCTAAGGTCAGAAAAGGTTTGGACTTGTGGCTTTTTAGGCAGTAACACCAGGTTCGTGTGTGTGATGGATTTAGGTAAGGGATTACCTTCGAAGAACAGGATTACCAATGCATGAATATCTTCCATGACGATCTCCAAACATGCTTGAAAGAATAGGCCTGAAAAACCATCTGGGCCACTTGCACTCTCACTACTAAGAGCAAAGACTGCATTCTTCACCTCCTCCATAGTTGGTAATCTGCATAATTCCAAGTTCTGCTCCATTGATACCATTGAAGGTACGTTGTTCAGTATATCAAAGCTTGCCGGATCTCCTTCCATGGTAAATTGTTTCTGAAAAAATTCCACTGCAGCCTCAGATAATTTTTCTTGATCTTCAATCCAAGAACCATCACCATTTTGAATTCTTTTCAGCTTTAACTTTTGCCTCTTCCCATTGACACAATTGTGAAAAAATCTTGTATTTCTATCCCCTTCTTCAAACCATGCCATCCCTGCTTTTTGTTTCCAGTACTGCTCCTCTATGCTCAGGTACTTTTTAAGTTCAGCTTGGGCCTGTTGGAGAACTACCCTATTCTGTGATGAAGGGTCTTCCTCGAACAACATCTCCTTAACTCTCACTATGTCCTCCCTGATGGCTAATTGTTTAAAAATGTCACCATAGGTTAGTTTGCTCCATTTTGATAGAACAATCTTGACCCTCTTCAACTTCTGCTTGAGCATCAGGAACGGATCTCCCATAAAGTCAGCAACCCAATTCTGCTTCACCACCTCCATGAACGATTCATGTTTTGTCCAGAAATTCAGAAATTTAAAAGGCTTGACAAACTTCATGGCTTCCTCTCCACAACTCATTAGTAAAGGTGCGTGATCCGAACCTGTCCTGATGAGATGTTCTACTTCAATTGTGGGAAACAGTGATTGGAAAGGCATATTTACAAGGATCCTATCTAATCTTTTGAAAATACATTCTTCATTAGACCTCCCATTCCACCAAGTAAAGGGACTCCCTTTATACCCCAAATCAAAAAGCCCACATGAGTTAACACAAAAGGCAAAGTCCTCATACTCTGGTGGATACACTGGCAGCCCCCCTATCTTCTCCTCTTCTCCAAGAACTACATTGAAATCCCCTCCAACTAGCCAGGGCAACTCCATGTCACTAGCCAAATAATACAAATTGTCCCACAATTCTAATCTTTCTAATGCACAACATTTAGCATAGACAAAAGTCATCATAATATACTTACCAAGTTCCCTATGATACACTCTGATTGTTAGCATTTGTTCAGTGTCAATTAATAGATCCCATTCCACCATAGCATCAATGAACAACCAAATCTTTCCATTAACATTTAAAATAGCTGCTTCCATTCCCAATCTCCTTCTATACTTCTGAATAAATCTCTTCTTCTGCTTGGGCTCCATAAGTGAAATAATAAAAAAACCATGTTCTTTCTGCATATTGATCACTCTTTGGAAGGCCTGTTGAGTTTTAACAGACCTTATATTCCAAATGAGGGTCTTGATCATCATCTTGATACTTGAGAGGCTGCCCTCTTGGGCAAAATTCTAGTAGGTGCCTGTGATTCTTTTTGTTGATTTCTCTTCCCCTTCTTACCACTCCTAGCTGCAGATGTAGGTGACACATCTCCTTCCCTTGCAATGGCCTTGAAATTTTCAGCAGTTGATTCATCCCCCTCTTCTATCTCCAATTGCTTCTGTTGATCAATCAAATTATTTTGAACCTCTTCAGGCAGCTCCTTGTGAGTAATAATGTCATGAAGTACTTGATTTGGACTCCTCAGTGGCACATTGATTTGGATTTGTAATGGTGAACCTGTTCCAGATGCACATGCCACAGGCAATGATTCCACCTCAGCTATCTCCCTTGTTACAATGGCTTGTGCAGCTGGATCTTTGGTACTCTTCATATTCCCCAAGTTACGTTGCATCGATTGGAATTGCAATGCATAAACAGATCCGAGGTCCGGTGCCTTTGAAGCATAAACAGGTCCGTGGTCCGGTGCTAGTGAAGCATTAACAGGTCCGGGGCCCGGTGCTAGTGAAGCATTAACAGGTTCGTGGTCCGGTGCTAGTGAAGCTTCAAGCATCTTCCCCCGATCTGTTTGTTGAACACTGTTTTCCATTCCCTTCTCCAACCCATAGACAGGCACCCCATCTACAAAGGCTAAGATCCCCCGATCTCGCATGTTCTCCTCTACCTCCTTGTTTTTAGCTGTGTTTGTTGCCTTCACATGTTCATCCATTGCCTCCATCTCATCCCCCCATGATTGTTTAGAAGAATTAATCTCAGTCCCCTCCTCCCCTTGCCCAGAATCCCCATACGTTTGAGAGGGGATCTCATGGCATGAGTGATTAGTAGTAACATTGAGCTGCCTTAATTCCTCTTTATCAGCCCCAAATGTCCTATGAACCCAGTCAATAGTCGCTTCCTTGTTAATTTTTATCCCACTATCCACATTAGAATCAACTATCTCCTGCCCTCCTGTAGTGGAGTTTAGTGGTCTCCTACTAGAGCTAGGAACATCTTTCACCACCATCTCCACTGCTTCTTTCTTCACACGAATTAAATCCATTGCTTCTGCCCCATTCCCAATTAAACTAGGATTAAGGCTTACCTTTTCCTCCTTGGCTTCATTGACTTTTTCCCGTACCTTCTTGGTACTCTTTACAATTTGTTCCTTCTTCTCTCCTTTGCCAACATCTTCTCCTTTGCCCTCCGTAATTTGGAGGGGAGGATTTTTGGTGTCCTCCACCTCCAAAGCATGAAATTTGTTCTTTGTTGTTACTTCCTCAACTTTGTTCTTCCCCTTTCCTTTGTCTACTTCCTTACCATTCTTATCTTCAATGATGTGCCCCCTTTTGTCTCGTTGATACTTGTTCTTTCTTGCCTGCATCCACTCTTGCTTTGCAGAATTCACCGTAGTTTTCCCAAACACTCTACCACTTTGCAAAACCTTAGTTGAATTTGCATCCGTACCAATAGCATCAGAAGTAATCACGATTTCCCTTCCCTTACCTTGATCCTTGACTTGACCTTTGCCATTATCTTCAAAGCTTTTGTATAATTCTGGATTTACTACCCAGCATTCCTCCTCATTGTGCCCTTGTTTCTTACATGCCTTGTAATATTTGGGCATGTAGTCGTACCTAATCTTGATCCATTTGGACTCCTCGGGACCAGTCTCATCCGCTTCTTCAATGATCTTAATTCTTTGAGGCAAAGTTGCAAGAAGATTC